TTATAGAGATAGTTCGATGGGGCGCGGGCTGCTCAACTAGAAAGACAAGCCAGCACACACCCACGTAGGCAAGAATTACAGGCCATTACCAACTCATGATAGCAAGCGATTGCGTCTTATCATGTGCGTCAAAAGGGCCATGCCAAACTTTATTAAATGCGTGCACCAAAGAAGAGAACAATGAAGAAAATCAACACACTCTCTCTCTACACAAGGACCCAAAAAAGGTGACCCTACGCACCAAGTACCAATGAAAGCGAAGATATTCCCTCACAGGGAGAGAGAGAGAGAGAGAAAGAGAGAGGTCTCAAAAGATCAATTAACATCTGTTGATGTTCTTCTCTCTTAGTGCCATTACCAAAAATGGTAAGAGGGTCATGGAGACCTTTCCTCCAAACCTGGTACCATGCATATTATATTTGCTACACTAGCCTAAGACAAAGGCTGCAGATCGAGACTGATTCAGCAAGGCCAATAAAGAAACAAAAAGATTAACTAGTGGGATTATAGTTAGCAAAATTTGAGGGGTCACGGTGTCATTGGAGTACATTGCAAATTCTTTAGTAGGTCAGAACTACAGAGATTTTGCTAGAGACTCTTCAATCTTCGCTTCGCTCTCGCTGTTCTCTGCGTCGTTCATCACCATTTTTATGCATAAAGCTTGGTGCGGTCACTTGAAGACATGTAAAAGTTGGATTGCATTAGGATTCTCTCCCTTTAAGGGAATGACTGTACCCCTGTCTAATTGTCTCAAATTTACTATAGTGGCCTAAGAGTTTAGGCGAATATACCACAAAAACCTAGAAATCCTAATGCCTCCCTTTCTCTCTCACCTTCTTCTCTTTGCCGCCGGTCTTTGCTGTGAGCTCTCCTTCACTGCCGGCCCATATCTAAACGCTCGCCGCCCTCTATTGCTCTTCACTGTCCACCTCCGCCTCTCTCTCTCTCTCTCTCTCTGGACTGGTTGCCTACCTCTGATGACCTCATTGTGAGTGTGGAGAGAGAGAGGGAGATGGGGGTTGGCGACGGAGGAGGGAGGCAGCGCCGGAGATGTGGGGGTAGCAACGGAAGAGCTGAGGTGCAACGCCAAAAACTTGCGTTAGATTTGAGAAAGATTGAGCAAAGTCAACCACAAGGTGCATTCGGTGAGGGAGAATATTCACTTGTTATTAGAGAATGAAAATAGCATATATAAGTTATTTGAATTCCATGAAAACACTTGGAGCACTACAAATAGCTACATTCCATGTTCTCCAAATGAAGGGAGATGCGAGTGCGGATTGACAAATAAAATATAAGAAAGCATTTCCAAAAAAAGTGAAAATATAAAAACATTAAACAGTATCCTTGGATTTTCCCGTGAAAATGTTCACTAAAAACTTCTGTACAACCAAACATGTCTACAACCTTCTGAAAAGGACTTTTCTGAATTAGCTATGATTCATACAGTCTTAGGAAGAATGTTTCTTTTTCTTTCCAAATTAAAGTTTAAACTATTAGGGATACGATTCAACAATGTATACAACCCACAATTTAATTCTCTCTCATGAATATGTACGTAATTATAAATTTAATTTCATTACGACCAATCACAGTTAAAGGTACATGACTATGTATAAGTTAAATCTAATCATGAGCAAGGTAGCCTGTCCATATCGAGTCAACTTAGGGTCGAGGCGTAAATTGGACGGCACTAGGAAAGTAGTTTTCCTTCCAATCAAGGCCTGTGCCCCGCCCCACCGAGGCCCGGTCACATCACAACGAAAATCCGAACTCCTTTTCTTTCACTTTTCCTTGAATGAAAGGGAGTGTGCACGAGGACTATTTGGGTCGAAGAGCACTTTCACCCGACGTGTGCGCTGATTAGGGTTTTGGACGAGCCAAACAACGTCGTCATTGCTAACAACAGGTCCCCCTCAAGTTCATATCACATCTGCTAGCTGTTTGAGGGCCGAGATTACTACACAGAGAGAGAAAGAGAGATGGTTCTCTGTCGAACATTTTCAGAGCGGTATAAAAGCAAAAGGAAGGGGGAAAAAGAAGAGGGGAAAACTGTTTGAGGGACCCGCGATGGTCATTGAATCCCAATGCGTCCACGGAACGGTGGAACACACATCGCAGGCGCTCCCGTTATAGAAACACACCCTCAGTGGCTGTGGTGGTGGACACACCAGAGCCGAGTCTCTCTCTCTGTGGTGTGTCAGATGGCGGCTTCTTCGTGTGTGGGTCATAAATTCTTCTTCACTAAACCGAAAGCAAGCTCCCTCCCTCTCTCTCTCTCTCTCTCTCTCTCTCTCTCTCTCTCTCTCTCCCCATCTGTTTCTTCTGCTTGAACCTGCACCAGAAAACAAAAACCACGCCTACCCATTACAGTGTCAACACTGTTCGTTTCACGTTGCGGAAGAAAAGTGAACAGTGGGTTCGAGGGAGACGGGGGAGGAGGAAGGCGACAACAACAGTCAATTTGCTCACAACTCAACACGACAGAGACGGTCAGAGAGAGACAGAGAGAGGGAGAGGGAAGATGATAATTGAATGGGGCACGGTGGGGGATGTGTCTCCTTCCTTCCATCTGTTCGCGAAAATACCAACGAGACTTGACCGTCGTCTTCTGTGTTCCCTTCCTCTCTCTCTCTCTCTCTCTCTCTCTCTCTCTCTCTCTCTCTCTCTTTGATTATTCCCGTCGATCAAACGTACTCGTGTTCATGTTCCAGACCAGTGAATCTCACTGTGCTCTCTGCTCGGGTTTCTTGTCCTTGTAGCCTGTTACCAGTCGGCTTCCTGTCTCTCTCACGTAAGTTTCGACTGCATGTGACATCCATGTTTACAACTGCTACCTCGCCATGCAAAACCTAAGACAGCGATAATAAAGACTCGGAAAATATCGGTAATTTAGTAAATATATATAGATATATATTAACTTTCATCATTTATATCATTTTGGGAAAATGTTTTTTATTCATCACAAGCTACCCTTATGCAATTCTGTTGAAAGTGAAAAGAATAAATTTTGTTACCCGATCTAAATTGTTTATATACTGCAAAGCAGATATTTAACTTTGGCGAGAAGAAAACTTATTTACCCTTGATTTTTTTCGGCGAAAATTTGGAAATTACAATAGGGTGGAAAAAAAATTAAATTTCGCAAACAAATTACTCTCTATGATTGCATTAAATGAAAATGGGATTTTTTTTTCAGTCTTGTTATGTTTTTGGAAATAGCAAATTTGTTTTTTGGAAAATTCTCGAGCATGATGATATATTTTTTTTCACGATTTGCCGCCAGACGTGAGGAGGAACGGCGATTTCTAATGTTAATATCCTGGAGGGCAACAAAACACCCAGCCGCGTCCCGGTTTTGCCAACATTATTTTTTTGTTTAGTTTGCGGATATTTTTTGCTGACGTGTAAGCTAATCCGACAGGGACAGTGGGATTCTTTTTTTTTTGTCTACGAAAAATATAAATTTGTAATTTAAGTCCGACATTTCGCATTAATGGATATGTTCGATAATTTCGACGGCTTTTAATTCTGGTGAATAATATGATGGTGTCGCAAAGCCTATCGAACATGACACGAATTATTATATCGCTTTAAAAGTGATATCACAAGCGAGTTTGCCCCTTGTGTTTTTCGTGTCGATTGTGACTTTCGCGAGATTATATGGTGTAAGGTACATGTTATGATATATTCAAATTATTTCTAATGAACAAGCACATGAAACCAGTCAAATCGAACCACACAACTCGCTTTAAATTATGTTAAAGACAATATGGCATTAGATATTGGTCAAAACTTAAAAAAAAAATAGATAAAAACAAACCATCACTAAACCATCAAATATATGAAAATCAAGTGGCAATTTTTACTGTAGCTTTCTAGAGAGGCACCCCTCATTATTTATGAAGTGATGAAAAATATTCCTTCTGATTGAAAGAAAAAAGAAGAAGGAAACATTGATTAAAGCAAAGCAAATTGTTGACTAGATCAAAATATATGTTGTCCGCCACGCCACATCGGAGTGAACTCATTAAAACTAAATAGTAAGGACAGTCACGTAAGCATTTATACGTAGCAAATGCTTCAAGTAAGTGATTAATGCTAGGCTGACTAGCAACTGATTATTTTCAGGTATATCGTACGATGCATTTACATTGCGCACAAAATTTGCTAGTTCTTTTCCGAATTCAAGGTGCGGTAATTACAGTTAACATTGAATTCGAGCAAGTTAATCAATGCCCGTTGGTAACCCAACATCTTTCCTAACTGCAAAACAGCCTATTTCGGGTCAAAATTAATTGATGATCACGCTCTAATCAGCCCTTTTCTAGCCAACCCCAGATCTTTAAAAATCTGGATCATATCTATTCAAAAAAGGAAATACGATCGAGTGTTAGGGTTTCGACCCCCACCCCTTCTAAAATCATAAGTCAAATTTTCACAATCTTCTGCTCGCCAATCGTTCTCGCCTCATGCAATATTCGGCGCTCTGAAAATCGAATTATTTAAAATGAAATATTCATTTAACAAATGTTTCGAAAGGACTCCAAAATACAGAATAATAAGACTTCTCAATGAATATAGAACGACGAAGCCACTTTTAGTTTTGGCCAGTCGGCATGGGAAATTGGACCTTATTCAGAGTCAGACATGTTACCACATAAGAAAAGTCTCAAAACAAACACGCATACACTCAGCCATTTAGGAAAGCAAAAATAAAATAAAATAAAAAAACACAAATACATAAACAAATGGGGTAAAAATCTTTTCGCGAAAATCTCTCAAATAAAATATTCATTTCGCGGAGGGGGAACCTAAAAGCCTAAAAGGGGGTCCAAAAAAAGATATTCAAAAATGAGCAAAAATATAATATAATATAATAAGAAAATGGAAAGGAATATTATATTTAAAAATTTAACGAACCCCACCTTCAACTCGTCTATTTAATAACATCTCCCTCGTCTCCACGGAAAGACCAATCTCCCTCTTCGACCCCCCAACTCTTCACATATCCATACGGACGCACACCCCGAACGCTTAGCCACATAACCAAGCAACAAAACTGCAGAGAAAGCAACGCAGAAACAGAGTGCTCTCCCATGAGAGCATCTCTCTCTCTCTTTCTCTCTCTCTCAACTTGTGTGTGAACTTGTGAGCAGAGAATTGGGAATCCGAACGGCGAGACGCGAGCGCTGAAGAGCTCTTCCCCGGATTGGATTCCGCCCTCTTGATTCACCGTCGTGAATCGAAATGTGCAACCCGAGCGCCACCATGCCCGCGACCAAGAAGCCCGCGCAACCGCCGCGGGCCCATCTCTTCCTCGACCTCCTATCCGTCCCCGCCGCCGCCGCCGCGGCGAAGCAGGAGACCCCGGGGCCCGACGAGGCCGCCGCCGCCGCCTCGGACTTCGCGGCGGAGGCCAGGTCCCTGTTCGCGCTCGCCCTCCCCATCGCCCTGACGGCGCTCATCCTCTACTCCCGCTCCGTACTGTCCATGGTGTTCCTCGGCCGGCTCGGGGACACGGAGCTCGCCGCCGGGTCGCTCGCCATCGCCTTCGCCAACATCACGGGCTACTCGGTGCTCTCCGGCCTGGCCCTCGGCATGGAGCCGCTCTGCTCGCAGGCGTTCGGGGCCCGCCGCCCGAAGCTGCTCGCCGTCACCCTCCACCGCTCCGTGGTCTTCCTCCTCGCCTGCTCCCTCCCCATCTCCCTCCTCTGGCTCAACATGCAGAGGGTCCTCCTCTACTTGCGCCAGGACCCAGACATCACCCGCATTGCCCACACGTATCTCCTCTTCTCTCTCCCCGACCTCCTCACCAACTCCTTCCTCCACCCAATCCGCATTTACCTCCGCGCTCAGGGCATCACCCACCCCCCTCACGTTAGCCTCCCTCCTCGGCACCATCTTCCACGTCCCCGTCAACCTCCTCCTCGTCCGCCACCTCCCGCCTCGGCGTGGCCGGCGTCGCCGCCGGGTCGGCCGCCTCGAACGCGATCGCCCTCGTCGCGCTCGTGGTTTACGTGTGGGCGGCCCGGCTGCACGAGCAGACGTGGAGGAGCCCCGGCTGGGACTGCTTCGCCGGGTGGCGGCCGCTGCTCCGCCTCGCCGGGCCGAGCTGCGTCTCGGTCTGCCTCGAATGGTGGTGGTACGAGATCATGATCGTGCTGTGCGGGCTGCTGGCGGACCCGAAGTCGGCCGTGGCCGCCATGGGGATCCTGATCCAGACCACCTCGCTGCTCTACGTGTTCCCCTCCTCGCTCGGCTTCGCCGTGTCCACCCGCGTCGGGAACGGGCTCGGCGCGGGCCGGCCGGGCGGGGCGCGGCTCTCCGCCGCGGTGGCGGGGCCATCGCGGCGGGGATGGGCTTGTGCGCGGCGGCCTTCTCGTGGTCCATGCGGGACGCGTGGGGGCGCATGTTCACGCGGGACGAGGCGATCCTGCGGCTGGTGTCGGCGGCGCTGCCGATCCTCGGGCTGTGCGAGCTCGGCAACTGCCCGCAGACCGTCGGGTGCGGGGTGCTGCGGGGGAGCGCGCGGCCCGCCACGGCGGCGAACGTGAACCTGGGCGCCTTCTACCTGGTGGGTATGCCGGTGGCGGTCGGGCTCGGGTTCGGGCTCGGAGTCGGGTTCTGCGGGCTCTGGGTGGGGCTCCTCTCGGCCCAGGTTTGCTGCGCGGGGCTCATGTTGTATGTGGTGGGGACCACCGACTGGGATTTCCAGGCTAAGCGGGCCCAGATGCTGACGTGTAACGGGCGTAGCCTCGACGACGAAGAAGCAGACGAAAAGCAGCCGTTGATTTGCGTCGTGGTGACCCCGTCGTGATGATGATCACCGTAGGATGTGAAGAAAGTTAGTAACTCCCCTTTTTTTTTTTTTTCTTTTCTTGTTTAATGTAGCTTCTTCTTCTTTTTCTCTCTCTCTTCATTTTTTTTTCTTTTGTATTTTCTTTTGTCTACATTTTAGATTCTCTTTGATTTTTTTTTTGGTGGGGTATTGAATTTTTTTTTTCTGTTCTGGGGGGGATTAAAAGAGGAGAGGTGGGTAATCTAAAAGAGCGGAAATTTTTGGTTCATGGTCAGCCTTTCTTGCTCTACCCAGAAAAAAAAAGAAAATCAACTTTTTTTTGGCCATCATCAATTTGATGTTCACCTGTGTATTTATGTATTTATCTCTATCTTCTCAAAGGCTCTCTCGTTTCCCATTCTTTTTCTCGACCCTTTTCGTCGATTTTTCTTCTTTGGGATTTTCAAGACATTTTCGCGAAAAAAGGGTTTTGAATTTTCTGGTCAGTGCCCATCCTTACAACCTCGGCATGTTGTCTGAATTGCGCAACGGAAATACATGGGAAGCATCACTTGCTTACGTTCGGGAAAAAAATAAAAATACCAAGTGGTGTTGTGGAGTTGCATATAGAAAAAGGCGACTTTATTTTCTGCACTTTTTTTAAGGGGGAAAAAAGGAGGCATTTTATGGAATTTCACATGTACAACTTTGAAATCCAAATAAAGCAATGGCCAACTCAGAAATATTCCATTTCACGTCCAACGAATTCTTGGAAAAGATGAACTTTTTAAGGTGTTGCTCCAGCACATAACTAAAACTTCTCCTAAATTTCTTTTTGCAACTTTTTTCACTTTCATTTTTGGATGGTTGATATGACCTAAAGCCATATTATCTATCCCCTATTCATGACCGAAACCAGTGCAAAAAACATGAAGAAATCTCGAGTTTCAGATGACGCATTCAAAGCCCGAACCGATTTATCCGAGGAAAATGTCGGGCGTGTTGAGATCGATTCGTGTGTCGAACGGTTATTCATTATTGAATATGACCCGCTTGTTTAAATGGTCTGTTCATGATTCGACGGGTCATTTCAAGATAAAACTAACTTTGTAAAATCGGGCTTCGATTAGTCCTTGCATTACTCATCATATAGAGATGTCCGTAGGGCATAATTCTAAAGAGGATCTTTGCACGAGTGAGATTGCCCTGCGAAGTGCACATGAGGACCCCTTCCAGGTAACGCGAGCAGGAGGGTGGAGAATTTATTTCTGTCAATCATTGCATTGCCTCATGTGTGTGCATTCAAAGTGTACACGTCGGCCTCATTTAAAATCACCAAGAGAAAATCTCAAGCAAGGTCCGAAATCATAGCGCTCCTACGATTATTATCGGAGCGTATAAGTCTGAATCAGGGCAGAATTACTTGGATACTCGACCATCCTCCGAACGAGAAGTAGAACGAGAAAGACTCGACGGATGGACAGAGGCTCTGCTCGACCGAGCTCGTCCCGCCTCCGACCACACGAGCAAGTAGACACGATCACGGTCGTGAACTTGTTAAATCTCTAAGGATGATCTGTGCCTGTCGGTATGATCCATCGTGGACAAATTCCGATCCCACAACGTTGGCCATCTGGTGCAGCCTCGCTGTCTCAGAAGTTCAGACAAGTCCGAAGGCGTAAGCCTCTCCTGTCATGTCGACTGCCGGCGTTTTACGCCTCTCCTGTCATGTCGACTGACTGCCGGCGCTTTACACGTGGCGGCGATCCCGCTTCCTAGGGTTTGGTCCAAAAACATTGCCGAAGAGCGCAGCCCGGTCACCGGGTCTACCACCTTGCCTTTTTCCGTTTTACCCCCCACATTTCACCACGTTGCCATGTCACTCCATGCAGAGACACCATCATTCGTGCCAACGACGACCTGCGTGGGGGGGTGCTCCAGTGGGGGTTGTACCTAATTTCTTTCTGGGGGGAACCAGTACTTTAATTGCCATTGGAATGGATAGTGTAGCACAGCTTGTGGTCAACGAGAGGAGTCCCCAGATTTCTCAAGAAATCGACTATCTAATTTAGTTGGATCGAATATCGTGGATTGGTACGTTGAGCATTCTTTGTCGGGATTATCCCATATTGATTACAAAAGAGGCTCATGGTCAGTTTATGAGTGTGAGGTAAAACCTCACCTTGGAGTTAACTATTGAGGTAAGAAAGACCCAAAACCACTCAACGAGCCTAGTTATACCAACCAGTGTGGATCCAATAGTCACACGGGAGAGACGGGTTATCGCTGTTGCTCCTGCCCAATACCTGATGTGTGAGGCGAGATTGTTGGAGCTATCAGAAAAGGGTTAATGGTCACTTTATAAGGGTAAGGAAAAATCTCAATCATTGTGCTAGCTTTTAGAATGAAAGAGGCCTAAGATCACCAAACATTCCTCTCTCTCTCTCTTTTCCCTTATGCCGTCTTCCTTCTCATCTCTCCGACATCTTTCTCTCTTTTCAATCGGAACTCCACACATCACGTGACCATATATAGATCTATGGATGTGAGAGAGGGATAGAGAGAATTATATAAGTGGTTGAGTTGGAGAGAACATGCGGTCATCTCGGTGTGGTGGTTGGGGTTCATCTCGACGGCGGGTGGCCGAGCCAAGCAACAAAGGCGGAGTCAAGTTGATCGCAGTGTGGTGGATCTTCTTAACAAAGAGGGAGAGTGGGAAGAGAAAAAGAAAAAATAGGGTTAGGGTTTCATTGTGGGTGTGTGTAGGAATTTTCACAATCTGATGATTTAATGTGATGTGGGTTAGATTAAGCCCTTAATTTTGATAGCTAACGTGTCATTTATTTAAAGGAAGTAAGCAAGATCTAACTTTTACCCTTCTAATTTAGAGGATCTCAATAACAGTTATTTTTTTAATTATGGATTCGCGTATCCTAGTCTGAGAACAAATTTTTGCGGAACTTAGAACTAAAATGAAACGATCTTGCTTCCAGCGTATAAAAAATATTTGAGAAACCGACATGAAGAATTCTATCTAAGAGTTAATAAATATAGCCAAGGATTAAATTCGATAACTATTAACTCAATTAACATATTTTGTTGGACCAATTTCACGTTTGATCTAGCTATGAGTTTATTAAATAGATTAAATGCTTCTTCATCTTGATTGCCCAATTAGAAACTTTGATTTATCAACCCTCATATGTGAGCCTTAGAGTTGCCTTAATGGTTTAGCGAACGTGCATATGCTTGGAAGTTAAGACTTATTACACATGTTCAATTCCTTAATACCGGCAAGTTCAAATATTATGCCACAAGGATACAAATTCATTGTACCAATTCCATGATGTTAATTGAATGTTTCACAGTGCCAGAGCAGAACTTCCCCATCATTAAAGGAGAAATAGTGTTTTTTGTCCATCCATGATTGGAGGAAACTCTCTTCATTATACCTCTGAATGGTGGTAATAAACACGTTGATCATCCACATGCAAACTTAATTAAAAGTAGATGCACGCAATATTCATTCCCGTAATCCACCAATCAAAAAACCGGTTGGAGCAAAAGATGACGGAAAACCTGGCTCTTGAAGAAAAATATGATTAAGGTCTTACAATCCGATCCATATCGACATGAAAAATGGACAAAGCAACAGGCTCCTCGATTTTCCTACTGTCTTGCACAGGTGAAGCAAGAGGGAACTGGTGAGACTATCAAACTCTACTGGTGCACGAGAAAGAGTGGCTCCTACTAACGACTTAAACTCAAACTAAAAGTCTACATGTGCATACTGATGCATTTTGCAATACCCAGGGTTTGGATATGTAGGAAGAAAGAACAAACGTAGCAAACCAACAAAGATGAAATGATGTGCAAATAGTGGCCCTTGTCGTGGGGCAGAAAGGCAGAGCAATTTCTGTGGTAAGCAAACAAAAACAAGGGTCTTGTCTGGTATCTGTGTGGCACTGCCTCTTTGTTGCAGGAGGCGCACGAGGGTTTGGATAGCTTCTCTCTCTCACTCGTATGTAAATCATTATGTCTCCGTGCGTCGTATAAGGCTCCACCTGGACATTGCTATCGAGATTACTCTCTCAAAGGGTGTGTGATTTGAACACGAAATCTCTTTATGTCCAACTGAAAAGTGCAGTCACTTAACTAATCTGTTAGGATAATTTTGTATCCATTAAAACAAATGAGGGTGTATCGGAATTGGGTAACGTGACCTATTCGTCATATGATCGACGAGTACACAACATGTAGCGTTCAAATTGATCTAATTAGTTTGTCATTAGTGTGTCGGCACTTCCTAACAAATCAAAGACCTAGAATCAAAGAGCATGACAAACGTTTTCTTGTGCGTTTGCGTAAAGAGATATGATCTCCTGCCTCTGGATGAAAATTTAGCACCCTCGACTTTCGCTTGCTCATGAATGCATCCAAGAATGAGGGGTGGACATACTTCTGCAATTCTCCTTTGGAATCTAGCTGATTAAAAAATTCGAAACTTAAAATTTTCTTTTCCATAGACAGAGTTTTGGCTCTTTTCGTTGAATTTGGCAACCACTTCTGGACCATATGAAAGGACTAAATCCAAGTAGAACATAAGTGACCACCAATTCTACTCTCCTTATCCTAGGTTATTTTGGCTTCTTATGTTCAATAGGATTTACAATATCTTCTCAATTTAGGGATTTTATTGACGGTGACGTGGTAAGCATGATCCAAAAGTCGAAAAATTTGTGGTAATTACCATCTTTATCACCTATTTCTTTCTAATGTCTTGGCATGGTCCAGGAGACAAGTAAAGTTGACTTACCTTCATTTGACAGGAGGAATAGACTGATAACTTTGATCAATGCCAAACATAAAGTCTGAATGGATATCTATTTGATTTTGTTTCCAAATCTCTCTTATTCCTAAGTTTCTGGCAAATAATTTGCTCATTCGGGGCGTGAGCTTCCCAACTCTATTTCATTCTTACCTATAAAGGAATTTTACCTTCAAGAGCTCTTGCTTGTTGCATCAAATAATAATAACAGAAACGTTTCCTACTCAAATCTCTTTACAACCAAGTTCCAAAGTTCTCTCCAATTTGAGTCGTCTAAGCTTTTAATCCCACCTATCAAGTGTCTTACAAGGTAAAAATTTCGTGTTTTTCATTTCGGTTTCTTTATCAAACTAGGTTTTGTTTTGAAAGATAAATATGTGTTAATTCTTATTTTTTGTTTGATTTGATTTCAAGGTGATTAAGGCTTTGATTAGTTCAAGAGTCTTTCCACGCAAGGTAAGTGAAAACTCTTGGGATTAAGTTAGATCGATCTACTGGACACCTTGAACTTTGATGTTTGATGCATGCTCATTTAGGTTTAGTTTTTAGGTTAAGTCTTTTTAGACTTCAAGA